CAAAAATTAAAAAAAAAATAAAGTATTGATTGGGGGTGATGTAACCGTTATTTTCAGAAGCTAGACCTATCACAATGAAACCCTCTGTACAAGTTACATAGCCACAGGGGAGCAAGGGTGATGCAGTGACGATCCTAACTATAGGCTGGGTAAACAATAACCTAAAGCCCCGTTTTGATGAAAGTCCTAAAAAAAACTTTTATTATAACATGCTACTATATTTATAAATAATGATTTTTTTTTCAAATAAAAATTATATTTTCAAAGGTGAAAAAAAGTTTTAAGTAAATTAGTGACTTTTCATTTTATTTTGTATTTTCTCATTGTCTTTGCCGTTTCTTTGTTTGTTACTTGACTTTTTGATATTCATTTTATTTTACTTGTTCATCCCCAATTTCAATCCTATGCAAATTCTCTAACTTATATTTACAATCTTTGACAATAATACTACGATTCACGAATTTTTTACTTTAATTTTTTTTGCCCTTTTTTTGTATGGGTGTTTGTGTTTTTTCAAATTTTTTTTTTTCCAATTTTGATACGAAAGTATGGAATTGATTAATTTTCCAACTATTACATCTATATTCCATTTTTAGTTGTGATGATACTTTGACAATTCTCACTATGTAAGGCGTTGAACTTAAGACTCAAGTTGAGAAAGAAGGCTAGGCCCCGAAAGGGACTTCATGGCCCGATGACATTTTACACACCATGTGATTATCATAATCTTAATTTTGCACTTTGTGATATGGCAAATTCTTATATAAAGGTTAAATATTTTTTTGAATTGTACAATGTAAATAAATACTATTTTCATATTCTACAAAGCGATGTGATGTAAAAGGTCAAATACTTAAGTTGCTATCACAAATATATTGGAAAAATCGAGTAAAAGTGTTAAAGTAATAAGATTTCAAGCTCCAATAAAAAAAAAAAAAAAACCACTTCAAATTACTAGGCAAAGACATGTATAGAAAAATTGTAGCAACAGTCCCTAATCTTTTCAATTTTTACAAAATTTATATTAATCTTCAATTGTGTCAGTGGATGTTCCTGAACTTTCATAAATGTGTACTTGGAGTCCTTCTGGATAGAAACCGTCCATGAAACTGTCAATTGACCAACATATAATGACCTTAAGACATTTAGAGATGTTAAAAGTTTATTTCTGACATACATTTTTAGTTCTTGTTTAGCATAATTATTTGGTACAATATATGTCTATTATTAATAGAGTAACATAAGTGACGACGTGTCATCATGTTTATTAATATTGATATTAATCACTTGAAAGCACTTATTCATTTTTTGAAACATATAGAGAAACTGGATTTGATTCCTACTATATTATTACAAAAAAATTACTGCTCAAATAAAAGTTGAACCTAAATTTCATGAAAAATCATATTATTCATAGAAATAAGTGCTTTAATAAAATTGTCAATGATAAGATAACACTTCCAGATGAAGAATCTTTTTGGAGTTGATCAAGTCCTTTTTCTCTTAAGGTTTGAACAATTGTAAAAATATGAAAATACTTTCGGGTTTTTCTTTGATTTAACAAAATAGCAGTATGCAAATTATAATTGTTTGAAGAATTAGTGCGATGAGATTGAAGAAATTTTGAAGCATGACACAGATTCTGATATTTTCTGAATTGTAAATTGTGAGAAATGATCTGTCAATAGAGATGAAAAAGGCAATTGAATCATTAGACCATGTAAAAATGATAGACTGTTATTTTCAATGACGTTGATTGCTTAAAAAAATATTATTGATTATACTAGTTATAGTTGTATTCTCCTATATAAGTTTCTAAACGTTGAAGCCGATGAAATTCTACCTTCGATCAACAATATCACACAAATGGTTGAATGCATTGGCCATGGCATCTATTGAAAATCGAAGTTCTGAAACATATTGATTGTAAAAATATAATAATTAATTTTTTTTTTTTATCAAAAATAGAAGAATAAATTTAATTTAGTTATTCGAAAGTTTTAGATTATTATTTTTGCAATTTTAATATTTTTATTTAATAAAAAAATGCTATTATTATTATATCTTTTCAAATATTTGTAAGGTCCATATTTGATATCTACTTAACGCTCGAACATCTTAGGACCAGCCAATGGCAATCGTGCCCCTTCAATGTTTCAAATTTTTTCTTAAAAGGCGAATATTTTGCTCCTTCAATGTTTTTCTATTGGGGAAATTTTAATTTGTCATGTAGGCCTATATATGTAATTAATTATGTATAAGGTTATCTTAAAGTTAAGTTTAAAATTAAATTGATCTAATAAAAATTAAATGGTTAGGCTTAGGACATCTAAAAAGTGTGGGCCGAATTATATGTGTAGGACCAGATTCCTTTAAAATTGTATTTTGTGATGGACGAAATATATATGAAAACTATATATAGGATTAATTCATAAGAATAACCTTTTTTAACCTCATAGGTGAGGCCCTTCCGCTAGTTGAACAAAAATTTAACTTTGACAACATTTTTAATATTTTAGGAAGGGGCAGAAGTGTAACTTTCCATTGATCACATTAAATAATTACATTTTTTAAATTAAAAAATAAGATAAAACAAAAAGGCCTCATCTGCAACGTTTGAGAATGTTAGGGATAATGGCTGCAACAAATCAAATGCTTGGTGAAAATCTGCTAGTGTTTCAAAAGTTAGGGCTTTTGCTGCAATTATGCCTAATTTTAGTCTTTCTTTATAGTGATGAACAATGAAAAAATATTTTCGATAGTATTTTTGATGATAAGTGAACTACTAATATCTTTGATGTCAATTGTAACATCAAAAGCTATGTTTATTTTAGGTTGCAAGGTTACATCAAGCAATTGAAGTAGGTTAAAAATGAAATGAGGCTCTAATGGGCGTGAAGGACTGACATGGTATGGACTATCAAATAGAAGACAAGATAAATATTTTGTTGAAGATTTTCAACAGTTATAAACTTCATGACTTTTTAGTATCTAACTTCTATATTTCTTACCTTACATTGATATTTCAATTTTATTTTTTTTAAAACGTACACAAAATACGCAAATAAAAAAGGACTTTTACAAATTCATGATTCTTTTTAACAAAATATATATTTTTTACAGTTACAATTTCCTTATAAATTTACGTCTTCGCTATACTTCGGAGAATAAACATACAATTTTTAGTTAGAAAAGTGAGCTACAAACTGGTACTAGCCGAGCCCCATTTTGATCATGCAAGACAACTAGCATGGTGGGTCAATCCATTCTCGGCACGTAGCCACTTTATAGTTCATTGGAGTGAATTATCCAAATGGTCACTGAACTTTGTAAAAGGTTTGAACGGGTCATTGAACTTTAAAAAGCATCCAATTCATCACCGAACTTTGTAAAAAAATTTCACGAGATCACTGAACTTTAAAAATTACATAATTCATTATTGAACTTTGCAAAAGGTTTCCCAAGAGTACTTAGTAACTCATAGGAAACCTTTTGTAAATTTCAGTGAATTTGTGAAAACTTTTTGCAAAATTCAGTGATGAATATGGTGATTTTTAAAGTTCAATGATCCCATGGAAATCTTTTGTAAAGTTTATTAATGAATTTGATGATTTTTAAAGTTCGATGACCCCGGGAAATTTTTTTGCAAAGTTTAATGACCATTTAGGTAATTCACTCTAGTTCATGGTATGAATTTTCAGTGTTCATAAAATTATTCAAGAAGATGAGATCGTACTTGATGAAATAAAGACGGATTTTCGTTGCAAATTTCAAGGTCCATTTGCAATTTGTGTTTTGCCATTCAGATAGGGCCAAATGACAGCCCTGTAAAGAATTAGATTCAAATCAAGGGTTGATGAGATTCAGATCAAGGGCCAAGGTGTTGCCACCTCGAGCCTATTGCCTGTCACTAGAGCAAGTCCCTTTTAATTTTATTATAGTGTCTCAAGGTCTCTAATTTTGTACTATTTTATAATTTAGGTGAGGAATAGCATGGTAGTATTATTAATATGTTTTGGTAAATATGTTGGAAAAGAAAAACTATGTTATTTCCCAAAATCAATTGCTCTAACAACTCATATTTTCATTAAAAAAAAAAAAAATCTTATCAAGTGGCAATATAGATCTTGATAACTTTAGACAGGTCTTCCCAGATCATGTTAGAGCAACAAGATATACCCTTGTTTGTTGTAGATTAAAATCAGATTTTTATAGATTTTGATAAAAGTTCGTGAAAAATGCGACTAAAAAGTAGTGGAACCCATAAAATGTGTAGTTAAAATTAATTATTGATTTTGATTTGAGATTAAAATAACAAACAAACAGAGCTATTTGTGACGACTATTTAGACATGAGCATCAATTCTAATACATTGCTCATTTTTTGATAGATATTTCTGAATTAGCAAAAAATTGAGATTGACACGCTGCATATTGTGCAGATGCTCACTACATAATTTTCCTTAAGACACTTATGATCGTAATCTTTGACAATTATGATTAAGAATTACACTCCCTCAAAGGCTTTGGAGGATCGATTCAACTAAAAATTAACATAATTGGAGATTGAAGGCTAAACTATTGAATAATGCTATGTAGTCTCATAGAGGTTACAACCCTAGTTTAGATAATACTAGATGATTGATTAAATGAAATGTGTTAAATGAGTCATTTAATTCTACTTATCAATTAATGTCATATTAGCTTCACCTAAACTGTGATTATAATTCAGTAGAGCTAAAAAAAAATTACTTTAAACTATTTAAATTTAATTAATGTTAAATATCCTTTTCTAGAATTAAATATTAATTTATAAATAAATTTTAAATCTTTGCATAATGTTTCCGGAGCATTTCAGTCCTACTTTTCTCGAAAATAAAAGTTCAATATGTTGTGTCCTTTTACGTTTTGTTTTTCATTTCCATTTTTGTTCGACGAAATTAATATATTTCTTTTAGAGGAAAAAAAAAAGATTAATGCAGAAAAAGTGATACAAATCCATGCAAAACGAAGCATAATGTTGCATTATTTTAACTCATACGGCTGAGGCATAACTGGTACAAAGTACAAACCATGCATCCACAATAAATGGATATTGTACATCACTCAGCCTCCTATTCATACGTAAGATACAACAACGTTTAAGAAAACACAGCATTTCTGAGGTGGGATTTAGTTGTGAGGCTTTGCTTCAGGTTCAGCACCCACTGCCTCACCTGCATATGTACAGCACCGGCAACCCCCTCGGTAATAGCTCTGGCCACAGCAGCCATAGCGGCAGTAGCCTCCTCCGCCACCACGACCTCCACGGTTTCCTCCGTATCCACCACCGGGGGAACCGCCACCAGGGTATCCTCCACGGTTTCCTCCGTATCCGCCACCGGGGGAACCGCCACCAGGGTATCCTCCTCGGTTTCCTCCATATCCACCACCGGGGTAACCGCCACCAGGGTATCCTCCATATCCGCCTTCTTGATACTTGGATTCTTCAACCCCATTTGTCTTCTCAGCCTCCTTATCTGAACAAATTTTAGGAGCAAAAGTACAAACCGGCAACCCCCTCGGTAATAGCTCTGGCCACAGCAGCCATAGCGGCAGTAGCCTCCTCCGCCACCACGACCTCCACGGTTTCCTCCGTATCCACCACCGGGGGAACCGCCACCAGGGTATCCTCCACGGTTTCCTCCGTATCCGCCACCGGGGGAACCGCCACCAGGGTATCCTCCTCGGTTTCCTCCGTATCCACCACCGGGGGAACCGCCACCAGGGTATCCTCCACGGTTTCCTCCGTATCCACCACCGGGGGAACCGCCACCAGGGTATCCTCCTCGGTTTCCTCCATATCCACCACCGGGGTAACCGCCACCAGGGTATCCTCCATATCCGCCTTCTTGATACTTGGATTCTTCAACCCCATTTGTCTTCTCAGCCTCCTTATCTGAACAAATTTTAGGAGCAAAAGTACAAGATAGGTAATAGAATATTAATATGTTTACCAGACAGGCAGACAGTTTATAAAGTTCGATAGGAAAAAAATGAAATTCTTGAACTCTACGATACAAGTACTTAAGTACATATTGTTAGGTAATAGAATATTAATACTTAATATGTTTACCAGACAGGCGCACAGTCTATAAAGTTCGATAGGAAAAAAATGAAACTCTTAAACTCTACGATACAAGTACTGAAGTACACATTGTCCTGGAAGCAATCTTTTTATATATGTAGAAGAAATTTTACTTTCAACGACGAAAGCTTTTGTGTAAGAAGAAACTTACGGGTGGAAGTTTGAGACAATTCCCGGGCTGACACTTCTGATGCAATCAAAAGAACCATAGCCAGAAGGCCAAGTAGAAGAATTGTCTTGGAACCCATTTGCTATAACTGATTGTTAAGAAAGAAGAAACTTGATTTATGTTTTTGATGAGAATGTTTAGAGTGTTTCATCACTATTTATAGACAAATCTTGCAAGAGGTTGAGTCCATTATTAGGGTTGAGTAGGTACAGCTTTTAGTTGGAGCAATAAATACACAGACTTCAAATACGTACAAATTCCACACGTCGATCTTAAAAACACTGTTGATCGACACTTAATTTTATGCCAAATTTGTATTCGGCTGGATATCATTTTATTCCAAAATATTGATCACTTAAATATTTATCATTAATCCTGCTACTCAAATAGGAAATTTTGACGGGAAATGTTGATAGACAATACTTGGCTTACATTCATTGGAAGACAGGATTTAAAAAAAAAAAATACAGGCTAATCACAGTTCGTCGCCTCAGCTCTGTCAACATTATCTATCAAAACTCCCCGTTTGAATAGCTTAATTCACTTATCATTTCAGGAACACTGTGGTTTAATCTAATCTACTAATTGAAAACTCTAGGCGTGAATCGAGAAATCAATGAGGCCTGTAGCCATTGATGTGTTTTATATCCAGTTATGTGCAAAAGTAACATTGTTGGTTGGTCATTAAAATTTAATATAGTAATAATGACATATTATATTAGTGCATCTTCAAGAGACTTTTTATTTTTTAAAGGGTATTTATAAATTTAGAGAATTAGAATTTTAAAGTACTTCAATAAACTCTTTATATTTAAAACTTAATTTTACTATTTCAAAAAAATATTTATTATTTTTATCTATCTTTTATTTTAACTAGCTTTTTTTTAGATTATTTTATTATTTTCCTACATTGAAAATTGAAATACTTTAAATGCATTTAATTATAGAAAATGAATTTGCATATTCAAATTTGGAGAGCCAAACCCACTTTCTAAAACAAAATGTTAATTTAAAGAGTCGCTTGAAGTATGATTTTAAAGATTGACTCTTTAAAATAGAGAATATCTCATGTTTAAAGAATCTTTTGAAGATGCTCTTACTAAACTTATTTTAGCTAGTAAATGTGTCAACTTTGCAAAATGAAGAAGGAAAAAATTAAAGACAGATTTAAAGATACTGCTCATTGTGAATCATTCTTAATTAATTAAAAACAAAAAGGATTTTCTTCATTAAAAGTTGGTAAGATTCTATAGTTTTCACTATAATTTTCAAATTCTTTAAGAGAAAAAGAATAAAAATATAATGTTCAAGTTTTCTAAATATTACATAAAATTCTAAATAATTCTAATTACGAATAAAAAATGCAAACTTTAAAATTTTCAGATAAAATGGAACTACACACATACTCGCAAATGTTCCATAAACCTTATATTACATAGAGAAGGTATATAGTGCATGGTAAATTGCCAAGTTATTTTTCCGTAAGATTGTTATCGATAAAAGTCAATAAGTGTACATAGTGGTTACCTTTATACCATTCTTATCATCTATCCATTCCAATATTTTATTGTAATTTGTCATGTACGTATATTAATAAAACTTGTGTAAAGGAGTCTTTAATTGTCTTGTGATAGATATTGAGGATATACTGGTGATAAAGAGATCCTCTTCTACATATATAGTCACATTATCACATGGAAAGGTATAAAAACAATACAAGTAAATAATTGAGATTTATTGATTAAAAAAAATTGAAGATTTAGTTTCCTGGGATTTGGAACAATCTGAATAAATCAAAGGATGGGAAAAAAAAAAAAAAAAAGTCTCCTATTTAACAATAGAAAAAGTAATGCTCTTCCATTTTGTTAAGTTAAATGTTCTGGAAAAATGAAAATCTAAAAGATATTCATATGTGTTAGAGCAAACATAATAATGAAGATAGATATGAATAGTTTTCCTTAATTTATGTCAATTTTTATTTATCTTTTGTTATCGTCCTATTGAGAGTTTTGAACTTCAATCTTGACGTGAATCCTCATTCAAAATAATTAACGATTTGTTGATTTATTTCAAGTATCTCATTTTTAGATATTGTATTGAGAAAGTGCATGTAATTAGGATAAGTTTACAAGATAGTTGAATTACTCTATCTCATACTTTCCATCTTTGCTTGGTTTGAATAATTATGAAAACAATAGGAATGCAATGAGAGTGTCTAATGAACGTAATATTCTTTCTTTCCGTCTCTATTGTTATTGGTTTCGCGATTTCTTAATGTTGGATTATATATGTCCATGTTAAGTGGCTGTCCCACCCTCTATTGAAGTGAGTTGGATCAAGTGGTTTATATCTAAATTCATACTCTAAAACTCCCTTAACTGGCACGCATACCACTGACTAAAACAATGAAAAACGAGGGAAAGGGGGGCCTAAAATGATGGAATTTTTTGTTTAAAAATGCACCAAAAATAAAAAGAACACGAAATGTCTCACAAAAAAAGATTTAAATATATTAGTGACTTTTCATTTTATTTTATTTAACTCGTTTTCAAGTTGAATTTTCGTTTTTTCTTTCCCGTTTCTTTGTTTATTGCTTGACTTTTTGTAATTTATTTCATTTTCTTTGTTCATCCCCAATTTCAACACTATGCAAATTCTCCAACCTAAGTTTACGGTCTTTGACATTAATACTAAGATTTATGAATTCTTTACTTTAATTTTTTGCCCTATCGTGTGTGTAAGCATTTTTTATTTTTTCTTCTTCTTCTTCTTCTTTCAATTTTGATACAGAAATATGGAATTGATTAGCTTTCCAACCGTTACATTTATATTCCATTTTTAACTGTGATGATACTTTGACAATTCTCATTATGTAAGGCGCTAAATTTAAGACTCGAGTTGAGATAGAAGGATAGCCCTCGAATGGGCTTTCAAGGATTGGGGAGGGTGGAAGGTTCCACCATCACTAGAGACTGGACATACATATAATCTTTCTTCTCGAACATCACAAAAGAACTAGATAAGGTGAGGCCTCAAGTATATATATTATTCATGGATATTGTTTGGAAGTTTCAGGCTATTCATATTTTCTTTATTTGAAAACATTTGAACTTGATATTGATGATATAAGAGGTAAGGATTATAATAATGGTTCTAATATAAAAGGGAAGCTTAAAGGTTTACAAAAAATAGTACTAGAAAAGTAAACCCGATGACATTTTACACACCATGTGATTATCATAATCTTAGTGCTTGTTTGGTAGGAATTTTGATAATTGATTTTTTGATCGTTAAAGATAAAATGAGTCCTACATGTAAGAGAAGAATTCAAAAATAACAGTTATAATAGTGAAATAACGGTTAAAATATTGATTTTAATTGGTTTAAAATCTGTACTAAACAAGCACTTAATTTTGCACTTGGTGATATGGCAAATTCTTATATGAAGGTTAAATATTTTTTTTGGAATTGTACAATGTAAATAAATACTATTTTCATATTCTACAAATCAATGTAATGTAAGAGGTCAAATACTTAAGTCACTATCACAAATATGTTGAAAGATCCAGTTTAAAAAAAAAAAAATAAAAAAAAAAATAAAACCACTTTAAATTACTAGGCGAAAACATGAACGGAAAAATTGCAACAACAGTTTCTAACATTTTCAATTTGTACAGACTTTATCCTAACTTTCAATTGTGCTTGTAGAGATTCCTAAACTTTCATAAATATGTACCTGGAGTCTATCTGAACAGAAACCGTCCATGAAACCGTCAATTGACCAACATATAATGACTTTAAGACATTTAGAGATGTTAAACGTTTATTTTCTGACATGCATTTTTAGTTCTTGTTTAGCATAGTTATTTGGTACAATGCGGATGTATTAGTATTGATATTAATAACTTGAAAGCACTTATTCATTTTTCAAAACATATAGAGAAATTGAATTTGATTCCTACTACATTATTGCTAAAAAATTAATGCTCAAATAAAAGTTGAACCTAAATTTCATGAAAATCATATTATTAATAGAAAGAAGCACTTTAATAAAATTGTCAACGATTAATATAACACATCTAGATAAAGCATCTTTTGGAGTTGATCAAGTCCCTTTTCACTTAAGTTAAGGTTTGAACAATATCAAAAATATGAAAATACTTCCGAATTATTGTTTGATTCAACAAAATTGCAGTATGCAAATTATAATTGTTTGAGGAATTAGTGTGATGAGCTTGAAGAAATTTTCAAGCATCGCACAGATTCTGATATTTTTTGAATTGTAAATTGTGAGAAATGATTTGTCAATAGAGATGAAAAAGGCAACTAAAGTATTAGATCGTGTAAAAATGATGTACTGTGATTTTCAATGATCTGGATTGCTTGAGAAATATTATTGATTATACTAGCTACAATTGTATTCTCCTATATAAGTTTCTAAAAATTGAAGTTGATAAAATTCTACCTTCGATCAACAATATCTCACGAATGGTTGGATGCATTGGCCATGGCATCTATTGAAATCGAAGTTCTAGAACATATTGATTGTAAAAATATAATAATTAATTTCCTATAAAAAAAATAGAAGAATAAATTTAATTTACTCATTTGAAAGTTTTAGATTATTATTCGTTTAATTTTAATATTTTATTTAATAAAAATGTTATTATTATTATATCTTTTCAAACAAATATTTGCAAGGCCCGTATTTGAAATTGACTTAACACTCGAACATCTCAGGACCAACCAATAACAATCGTGCCCCTACAATATTTCAAAATTTTCTTAAATGTATGCGAATAATATGTCAGTTCAACATTTTCGCCATCCATTGTGAAATTTCTAGCTACATGACTTATAATAGTGAATCGGACTCGATAATTCATCTCAATCGCTATTTGCCACTGATCATCTTCACAAGTGATACTCCACAACCAACATTAAAGATGCAACAAGCTTTGACTGATTTATATGATTATAAGAGTACAAGTGTGAAGAACCCTAGACACAGAAGTGAGTGGAAGGAAGAAGAAGAAGACACGACACATGGCCCATAAATGTGAAACCTTTGAAGTTGCTACGTCGACAGATTTTCTTTCCTCATCTGTTCAGTCAGATAAAGA